GTGGATATTAATTAATGAGTTTAAATATAGTGGGGATGCTTAGATATTAATATTATTAATTGGATATTAATGAGTTTAAATATAGGTGGATGCTTAGATATTAATATTGTTAAGTGGATATTAATTAATGAGTTTAAATATAGTGGGGATGCTTAGATATTAATATTATTAATTGGATATTAATGAGTTTAAATATAGGGGGTTGATTAGATATTAATATTATTAAGTGGATATTAATTAATGAGTTTAAATATAGTGGGGATGCTTAGATATTAATATTATTAATTGGATATTAATGAGTTTAAATATAGTGGGGATGCTTAGATATTAATATGTAAGCATCCCCACTATAGTTAAAGTCAATGGTTAACAAATCCATCACCAATCAAACTGGGGTGAAGTAGGTTGACTTGAAGCACATGGTTTTCTGTTTATGTTTTTCCCCTTAAAATATATTAGTGTGTGTGTGTGTATGTGTATATATATATATACATGTATGTGTATATACATACATATATGAGAGAAACACCCCCTTTCCACCTAAAAATTCTTTAAAATCTAAATCCGTTTTTAAAATCTTCCAAAGACCCAAATATTAGGTATGGCCTGCAACTACCCAAAATTGCTTGCTCTTATTTTTCTGCCGCACATCAGTTCACACATTCCTGTGTTTTTGCTTTTAGGAAAAGGAGCAACGGTCACCCGTCTTTTATCAGAAGAAATGAGCAACACAACTTTTGACGCCTCAGGCTTGAATAAGTCTGTGGAGTATGAATATTACTACGATTATGAGGATCCGACCTATAAATTGGAAAGAGCAATGCACGTTATCTCCATGGTGATCTACAGTCTGGCCTTTGTGCTGGGGGTCCTTGGCAACGGGCTGGTCATCTTCATCACTGGCTTCCGAATGAAGAAGTCCGTCAACACGGTCTGGTTTCTCAACCTGGCCATTGCTGACTTCGCCTTCACCTTCTTCCTTCCCCTGAGCATTGCTTATTTAGCCCTGAGATTCCACTGGCCCTTTGGCTGGTTTTTGTGCAAGTTGAACAGCACCTTGGCCTTCGTCAACCTCTATGCCAGTGTTTATCTCCTCATGATCATCAGCATTGACCGTTACATTTCTGTCTGGTTTCCGGTCTGGGCTCAGAATCACCGAACACCTCGTCTGGCTTCTTTTGTGGCCTTCGGTGTGTGGATCCTGGCCTTGGTTTTGAGTTTTCCAGTGATGTATTTCAGGCAAACAGCCCCAGTCGAAGAGAACCATATTAACTGCTATACCAATTATGGTGACAACCCACAGCTTAAAAAGTTCAAG